GTCATGAAGCTGGAGCGTCTCAAAAGGAGCACTTTGAAGGTGAAGCTCTGCGGCGCTTCCGTGGCCCCTATTTCTCTGAACAATCGCGAGATAACACGCTTTTCTGGATAGTAGATGTACCCGTTGTGCACATGGGGTTGCGTGTTGTGTGATCTAGTGTGGAGCGACTTATGGGTGTGCAGAAACTGCATGTTTTAGCCATCTTGATGTTGCGCGATTCAATTTATCTTCAAGAAAGTAGCAAGCGCTGCCTCGTCATGCAGAATCGGCAGATACAACATTCAAAGGGCTTTCAGTTTCCGCTCTGTTTCCATAATGCCAGCCAATGTCTAACGCAGTTTGTACCCACTTGCCTGCTGTGGGCAACATGCAGCGAAAATGAACGGATGCATTCTCAATGCAAACTTCCAACTTAACACGGGGTTTACCGCGTCGCAGTTCTTGGACACTCTCGACGAAGATGCCACCGGGATGGATCCCCAAGCCGTATACGAGGCGAAGACGACAATCCGAGAGCTTGTCGAGGACACGACCAATCTGGCTGAAGAGGTGCGGACCACTAGTACAAAACAGGCCCAATATGCGGGTGTTTGAGCATCGTGTACCACGCAACACGATTGAAATCGTGTAAAAATCGTGTTAAATCGTGTGTTGACGCGAATTTGTCGTACGTAAATGGGGCTAAACCGTTTAGTAATGGTTGTGTGCACATGAATTTTACACGTTTTGGCACTGTTTTATACGATTATTACACGGCTCGAAACCGTGTATTTTGGTTGATTTTTTACTTATGTTTTGTAGAAGAGAAGGTGCAAATGAATGCGTGGATCCGCTCGCTGGTCATGCGACAAAGCGCGCTCGCCTGTCACGACTTGTGTTGTCCGTTTCCGGCCGCCGCTTCAGTCGCGCTTGCCAAAATCTGCGGAGAAAACCAGCAGAAGTATACCACATTGACATGAGCTGCAAGATGCACAAGTTGCGTGTTGGGCTGCAGCTTCGACACTATGCGTGTCGTCGCAGAATGAAATCGCCTGACGATTGTTCCTTGATTGACGACTGATGTATCCCTGTTTGTGTTCGGTAGATCATTTCGAGGGACAGGGATGCAGGCGTGTCCCCCGAAGAATACGATGAAGCCGTCACGGAAATCAAATGGGCATTCCAGAACGTGACGGTGAGAGCGCAGAGGCGCCCTTTGAATACAACAGAATGCCATGAAATCGCACAAGTTTCCTGTCCGTCAATGTTATATTGATTAATCGCATTTCCTTGTTGACGGTAGGGATAACTATCAGAACTGTTTCTCGGCACTGTGCTGAAGGACCGTATCTCAGGGGTACCACATTTTGCGATGTCCGTCGTGTTTCGGGTCCTTTTCCGCCATTTTTGGCGCTTTTGGCTCTGCTTTGCAACATTTTCTACCTTTGGTGCCTTCCCATGCCAGAATTTTCCAGTGTGTGCATGACGCAACTCCTTGGGATGTTTGGAGAAGCCTTGTGCAGAATCCTTTCGATCGCGCATTCGAAAATGGAGTATCGACTGGAGATTCTGTCTGTGACTCCGCAGGGTCACTCGGTTCTTTTCCCAAGTTCCCATGGTTCCTCGTGGCAGCACCGTGGTATATTCAAAACTTCTGCATTGCAACGTAACTCTTGGCACTTTTTTTGCTGAGGAAACAATAAAGTAGATAACGCTCCTTTATTCCTAAATGCTATTTTAGTAATTTTTCGCCGAGCAGCATAACAAATTGAAAATAGCGCTATGAAAACATGCGGCTGAAAAGCGTAATGACACAAACTTTTCATACGGAAGGGCTGGATTTACTACGGCACCTCAAATTGGCTAATCCCAGCTCCTCGTATGGCCTCGAAAGACTTGTAACTCAGTCGTTTCGGATTCATTGTATCTGGTGGCGACCTTCCAGCGCTGATGTTAGCCAATCCACGTTTTCGTGTGCTGGAACGAGTTTCCGAGAACCGCTGAACGGCTTTCTTCCATCCAAGGTTTCCGGGTGGTGTAGGCTCATCGTTGCGAACACTGCACCAGTAGCAAATGACATTACCGCGGTGCTGCCTAAGATGCCATAGCATGTGTCAAATAGCTATTTGGCACCAACTGATGCCGTCGCAGCTGCTTTCACGGCATTACAAGCTGCTGTCATGGCATCGCAAACATCATTATGGCATCACCTGTTGTCAAAATGGCATCGCGTGTGGCATCGCAAATCTGGTGTTGTCTGGAGGTGATTAGTAACCCGCCTGTCCGCATCGCAGAGCCTCTTGATGACCGCCCAGGCTGCGGCGAAGGGAAGCGACGGGGGGCAGCATCCGGAGCAGAACGCGGCCCGATCAGAACTCAAGAAAGCGATGGGCAGCATGAAGGTCACAAAGGTGGGCCCAAGGGGTCGCACATGTTATCACGACATGATTACATGAGCATGCAATGGCATTGTTATTGTGTATTCGGACGAATATGGGCACTCCGGTGGTACACTAATGACATAAACTGTGTCGAAACATGGAAAAACATGGCAGAAAGGGATTATCCTCGCAGCGTATGGGCCCAAGCCAGATGTGTTTTTCTGGCCATAACTGAACACAGAACGCAGAACAGCCTTTCGGGTATAATGGGCACAATTCCAGAGCACTATGTGTTGGTTTTTGTGCCGCCGCGACCGAGAGGGCGCTCAAGGCGAAGGAGGCGGCGGGCAAGTCGATGGGGCAGTTGTCTGGTTAATGAGACAAATGGCAATAAATACCGTGAAATTTGCATGAGAGCTTTAAAATTCTGCTTCAAAGCGTCTCTGTAACAATTTGGAACTAGATTTCTAAAACACTCATGCAAATTGCGAGATATTTGCCATTGACCAAATTTATATGATTTTGCATTGCGTGAACGACATGTGGTATGGATGTGGGTGGGACGGCGGCCAGAAAATCCCCGCTGTGTGAGCATTCCGTGTCTTCTTCGCCGCACCACCTGGTCGGAATATGCCCGAAATGCGCGATGCGATTTCACGCAATGCCAGTATAGAAGCAGAGGTAACTCTTAGCACTCAGGTCAGCACTCCAAACGGTGACATGGGCAACTAAATGATAAATTAAATGATCTTAATTGAAGACGCTTTGGCGGAGGGAGCGGCCTGGATCCTTCAGAATGTCACGAACGGTAGCATGTATACCGTAACACAAACAGAAAGAACGTCATCAGCAACACCGACAACGACTGCAACAGCATTGTTTTGGCAGCCAACTACGATAACATCGCCAGCACTGGTGAAACTACGATGGCTGTAAAACTATAGCACACTGTGCGCAAGTACAGCTCACCGAGTGGCGAGCAATTAGCTTACCGGTGGCCAGCGGCTAAAGTGAAAGGATGTGGGGCACAAATGCTGTCTTGTGCGCATACCTGCCCGTCATCGCCTGCAGTGTGCAAATGAGCTGCTTCGTCATGTCGAAGGCCATTTTGAGAATAACGGCGCGCAAGCTTATGCGGAACGGGCTTGTGTGTTTCAGGAGGCCCTGATGCGACTGAAGAACGACCATTACGAGAGCATGAAGCTTCCTCACCTGCAGACCGTGAAGGAGAACTGGCGCGGGAGGTGGGCGCTGGCGCTGGCGTCCAAAATCAATAAGACGGAGCTGGAGGAGAGGGCGTACCTGGGGGACGTGACCAAATGGTGCCACGGGTATGAACCGTCCACAATTAACCGTCCGCGTCAACCGTTCACACCATCCACAATTAATCGTAATGAACCATCCAATTTGCTTCGTAGAAATGGTTCGCATTTGTATCATATTCATGTGGCTTTTGTAAATTTTTGAGTGAGCTTTCAATCGTCCTGTTTTGTTGCTTGCATTGGCCGGGGGCTGCTGTGGCGTCACTGGCAAAGCCTGCCACCATCTGGGTCGCTTAAGCATTGCATTTTTACAGTTGCCTCAGCAGGTTATTGGCCGAACACTCTTGGGCTCAAACCAACACACACTCACTGTCAAAACAATGCGTCCTTTTGTTCATTTCTGGGCCTGTTCAAGTTGCAAATTGCAGTAAAATAAGCAAACTGAATATATGTGTTGAACTGAAATCCCGGGGTTGGGACGTCAGTCATGTGGCAACGTTTGACCAGATGGGAGGCGAGCGGATGAAAGCGCCAATGGCGAGCAGAAAAAAGTGAAAATGAAAAAAAAATGCAAAATGAATGTGAAATAAATGGTGAAAAATGCACCGATGGGGTTCATCAAATGTTCTTGGATGTGCTCATAACCGCCAAGGCCTGCAAGGTGCAGGGGCAGCGGTTCGTCTCGTCGAGGACAATTTTGAAATTTTCTGAAAGAGAAATAAAAATTTTGAACCAAAATCAAAAATTCTGGAAACGTGCGCCGATGGTGCTCCATGAGTCGAGACATCCTCTGGGCGTGCGGCCGAGGACGCGACTTTCGGCGCCAATCCTGTTGGCCATGTGCTTGGCTGTTGCTCCCTATCACTAGGAAAAAAAGGGCCAAATAACACGTGTTCAAATGTGTACAAAGTTTACGGGTTTGTGTTATTTTTGTGTTATTAGCGTGTAAAACTATGATGAAATGTGTTTTATGTGTGTTCGCAAAAGTGTTATTTGGCACTTTTTTTCCTAGTGTATGACGTGTGCAGCACAATGCACTTTTGGACCATAGTTCACGGAATCATGAACGAATTGTTTCGCTGTCTTAGTCGTTGTATTTTATCGTCTGTATGTGTAGTACATACTTGTTGTTTTATTTGTCGTGTTATAATATACTGAATTAATTAATTTTGTTCATGTTGTTGTATTCACGGGCCCTTGAATGGCGTCCCAGGGAGATGGAGCTGCAGAGAGTCTACCGGATGTGCAGCTTTGCCATGTTTTGGATACTGGCGGCCTCCGCTTACGTCACGTTTTCAAGATCGTTCCTGGTGGCCGCCAGGAAGCAGGGCGGAAGCCACGTGCACCGGTGTGCTTCGGCGAACGCGAGCGGATAACGCAGTATATTGAAGGCAGGTTAAGTTAGTACATTGATTGAAGGTGGCGAGGTGGAGTTGTGTGGGCGCAGATTATCAATGGCTGTGGTGCGTTTTGGATGATTTGGGCCCCACTGTTGCAAGGGCGCCACATTTACAATGTACACCAATCGGTGGTGCACGTACTCCAATATGCAATTCCTCCTCGGTACTGCGTGTGCTGCCTTCCAACGGATGGAAGTTTGCGCCAAACACGTGGCTGACATTTTGCCCTGCCGAAGCGCTATTTTATGTCAATAATTAAGTTCAGCTGTTCAACATATTCAAGACTGGCTGTACATTGTGAGAAACGAGAAAAAGTGTGGTAGCGACGGGCGCGTACAGGCTGTCTGTCTGTTTGGACTCCACATGGGACGGCCAGTGCTGGTCGTCACAAGTGACGCCTGGCGACAGGGGCAGCTCTGCTGCCCCCGGGTGAATCTCGGGCCGCCTTCAGAAAGCTCCACCAATGGATTGAACGATTGCATTGCTCCACACGCCCCCCAGCCCCCACACCACCCCGCCAATGTTTCACTTACGTGTACTCAGTCGTTCAGCCAGTTTCCCGTGGTTGCAGGATTTTGGTGTCACACGTACCTATTCGGTGTAACGGTGTGTCCCGCGCCCTGTTTGGACATGTCCAGAATGAATTGTACAATTCAAAAAAGGCACCGAGAGCAGGGGGCAGCCAGAAGTATGCAATGTGCATACTGCTTGTCAACGCATATGTGTCGAGTCGACACATCGATCAACACATATGAAAAAGAAACAGATGCTTTCGCGATTGACTAATTCAAAACAGAGGCGGGCAAAATATCTGTTTGTTTTCCCCTTTTTCCTGCACTCTGTAGCGATCACGTTACTCCCTTTCTTTGCTTGACGAGTTCCTCTTCCCGCCTGACACATACTGGAAGTACATACAGGTCAAGTGTATGCAAAAACACCAATCTCCTCAATGCTGAATCTCGCAATGCCCATGACCGTACCATACAGCTGGCCCGTAGCTTTGCAATGCAGGCCAAATTGCTGACTTCCAGTACTCTGGTACTTCACATTGTCCTCAAAACGGAACTCAACTTCTGAGGGATGCGATGGCAAGAGCAAAATAAGACCTGTGGCGATCTTTGGACATCCTTTAAGTGGGGAGGCCGGCCGTGTTCCGAGAAGGCCCGCCAACAGAACGCAAGCCTTGGCTCCGTTTGAAACTCTCACCTGGGTTCCAAACACTAGTAAAAAAGGACAAAATAACACTTTTGCGAACACACATAAAACACATTTCTTCAAAGTTGTGCACGCTAAGAGCACAAAATAACACAAATCCGTAAACTTTGTACACGTTTGAACACGTGCTGTTTGGCCCTTTTTTTCCTGGTGAAAGGGTCCCTTGAGGACAAGCTTGTCCAACGCACAAATGCAGCGAATGGGTCCAAGCCGCCCCGGACACTGGCGCCCAGCAACATGTCTACCCGCCCCACCCCTGTGCCCACCCACCTGCTCACCTATTCCCCCGGGCATACTATTACTGGCTGCACCAAATCGGTGACTGCTTGCACCAAACCCCTCCAAACTAACTGAAGCCTAACCCTAAACCTACCCCTAAAGCTCACTCTAGAATTAATCTTGACTTCTAGGTTGGGACATAATGTGCACGTGCTGTGGTGCAAGCAGTCACTGATTTGGTGCAGGTGTTATGCTGGTGCAAAAGAAGTGCAACACGGCAGACCGGCCCCTGGGAGGGTGCCCAGTGGCGCAGTCACACGGTCGGCAGCCCTTAGCGTTTGCCGTCGGTGGCTCCGGCACGAACCCCATTGCTCGTTACGTGAAGCGTTTGTACATGCGTTGTTTGTACATGTGGATTACCTAGTGCGTTTTGCATGGAATCTGGCAGGCCAGTCTGTCCAAAGGCCGCCAACTCAACAGAACTTTCCTCCGGCCGCACCAGCTATTCCAGCTTGGCCAATCCCCAAATGCGAACCCTCGACCTTCCCATTACTGTCCTAACTCCACAGCCAATACCTCTTCCCCTCGACTACCCCATTACCAACCTCTATGCCGGCGCCCTGGAACCGTCGGCCCACCGACGTTCCTAGGGTCCCTACCCGGCGGGTACCAATCTCCCGCCATCCTTCCTCTACCGCCTCCACCGCAGCTCCCTCCAACTGCCCCACTAACTACACACCCCCTTCTCACTCGTTCGCGACCATGCCTCACTCCTTTCTCTGTACCGCCCCAACGTCCCATCCCCCCCCAGGCAGTACACATTTCATGTAATATTATTTCGTTCCCCCGCACGCTGATGACCAGCTCATTAGCTTATCGTCAATCACCTGAGTAAACACGCACCCCGCTTCCGCCCATGACCGCGCATCCCTCCGCACACGCCCCAGTCCACGCGGCCGCCCACCCAATTGGGTTGCAACGCCCGGGGCCCTCGACTCTCCAACCCGCCCTCCCTCAACAAACCCACGCGGGCCTCTGCCCCAAGGCCAAGCCGCACACCCGCAGGAGAGACCCTAGCCACCCTCCCCCCTCCTTTCTGGACATCTCCCAACGCCAAACGACGCCCATCCCAAGCTTTTGGCTGTCTCCGATCTGCTGCCACCTCCAGGCTCCCTGTGGGCTGTTCCCACCAGATTCTCCGGTGCTGCTCCTGGGAAGTGAAACACAGATTCTGGACTCTGGACTCCAGATTCTAGACTCCAGCTTTGGCCTCCCCGTGGCGCCAAGATGGGGCAGGAGCTGATCGACGCCAAGGCGGGGACTGGGAATCTGGAGGCGGGGCAGTCCGGCGAATGCCTCCTCTCGCCGCCGCTGCCGCCCGGAATTGAGTTGGAGCTCCCGGCAAAAGCCAAGGGGGCGGGTGGCGGTCATGTGGGTGGGGATGGCGAGGGCGACCCCAAGGGGCGGTGGACTCAGCTGACCGTGCTGATGGCGGGCATGCTGATGGGCATGGCCACGTGGTTCAGCGCCGCCGCGGTGCTGCCGCGGCTGAAGGATGCGTACGGGATCGGGGAGACGACGGGGGCGTTCCTGACGATCGCTGTTCAGGTGGGTTCGGGGCGGGGAGCGGAGGCGCGGGGTGCAGTGGTGGGCCAATGCGCTTGGGGGGCAACAATCGTTGCAAAGTGAAAACAGTCGATGGGAAGGGCGCTCTCTCCTGAGGCGCTTGGCGCGCTGCGTGAAGATGTGATGGGGCCCGTTTTTGTGTGAATTGCGCCGGTGCCTTTGGATGCCGGGGGCTGTTCGGTGCCGGGAGATTCGGTGGCCTGCCTGGCGCTCAGGGCGGCGCTTTTCGTGGAGACCCACAAGAGCGGGGGAAGTGCGGCCGGCGTGTGGGGGGGGTGATGGTTGGGGATGGAATCACGGACTTTTCAATCGGCGAGATGCTGTTTCGCGCACAGCACGGCCCAGGGCGCCATGTGACCCCCCCCTTCCCCACATTTCGGCGAGCGACACTCTCACAGAAGTGGCTTCGGGCCCCAAACGCCGCTTTGCTCCCTTTCTCTCTCGCTCGTGTCGCCGCGCCAACGCCATGCATCTTGACGACTCCCCGCGCTCCCCCTCCACCCACTCGAACTGCGCAGCCTCGCGTTGTGCCGCTGTTTGTCCCTGGCCCCCCATAGCGCCTGAAATACTGGCGGAAGGGGAAGGATTCTGCCTTGTCGCTTTGGAATGCCATCATTTTCCCTCCGCACTCCATTGCCCCCAAATCCCGCCCCTGCCCGCCCACTCCTCACCCCCCTCTTGCCCTTGCCCCTCCCAGCGCAGATCGGCTTCGTCGTGGGCAGCTTCCTGAGCGCGCTGTTCAACCTGCCCGACGTGCTGCCGGTCCGGCTGGTGTTCGCCATGGGCGCCTGCGGCGCGGCGGCCGCCAACGGCGCCCTGTTGCATGACGACCTAGGCTTCGAGGGGGCGGTGGTCTCCAGGGCGCTCACCGGCATGTTCTTGGCGGGTGAGCAGCGGGGCATTGCGGGCCGGATGTCCGTCGTACAAGCCCTACCTATGTTGCCCTGTCGTACAAGTTGGGGTGGCTGCACGCAACCGACGACCTGCCTTCTTTGCAAGTTGCGAATTGCGGCGTGGCAATTGCATCGTTGCGCACAGCTCAACCTTGCTGGCGGTATGGCGGAAGCCAAGACTGCCGTAGTGTGTTCAACCCCTCGGCATAGTGACGAAACGCTTGGCCCTCCTTGATGAGAAAACAGCAGAATAAATAACGCTCTTTTAACAAAATTTTGGCGGAGGAGCCTTAAAACCATAAAAATAACGCTCTAAACAACATGCAGAGCAAAAAGCGTAACGGTGCGGTGTTTGATGCGGAAAGGTTGAATAGACTACGGCATATGTGAAATTCAGGACTGGAGGGCTCCAGGAGGACGCGAGTGGCTTTGCGTGTCAGCCTCCCGGCTGTGCACAATTTGCTGCTGGGAAACTGCATAAGAAAGTGCAATGCAGCTGTGCAACACTTCAATGGGCACAGCTGGCAGTTTATTGCCATTTCGTGGTACATTTTCTATTGGTATAGGAGAACTGATGCTTTGTTGAGCTTTTACAGCATTACCTAAAGCTCGTGCAGGGGCATTCTTGGCCGGTGGGGTGGAGATTGCGTTGGAAAATTGGCGGTGAAGCTGCTAGGTGAAAGTGCGGCTATGAAATCGGCGCACAAGTTTGTGCAGACACCAATTTGAAGATTTGCCAGTGTTTGCTAGAAAATCTGCAAACTCTGGAAATCTACTGAACTTCACTAAATTCCGCCAATCTACTGCATCAACAAAGCTGCTGCAACGATCTTGTAAATTTTTGCAAGACTCTATGATGTCTTTTTCAGGTCTGCATTGCTGCCGCCATTTCTAGCATTTTGTTCAGTTCAAGTGTGTGTGGCTGCTACCGCAATATCTGGGGAAGTCTTGGACGCCACTGCCAACTTTTGTGAGCCACATTTCTCAATTTGTTGTGCGAAGTGTAATATGAACTGCATAAAATTGTGCAGATACATTCACACAAACCAGAATCGTTGCCAGTTGCTTGTAAGTCATGTGCAGTTGTGCTGAGAATGTGCTTCAACACGGCCTAATAGGCAGAAAGACAGCAGTTCGACATGTTTGCTGAGGCAATTGTGGCAATATGGAAGATTTTGCCTACCGCTCCAAATAGAATGCAGCGGGTTTATTCAGAGAATGGACACTCTTTGGTGCAATAGAGTGGTGGCCACCACCTTGTGCTGAACATGGGATAATGAACATGGGGACAGTGCAGGGCTAACTCTTGCTCTGTGCTTGTATCAACAGTTTTGGCTGCCTGTTCTCCTACGCTTGGGGGGCAAGCTGCACTGGCAAAACGGACATAAAGCAACCTGTTGCATCTAAGTTTGTTGTGCCTTTTGTGTACAGGTGTGTACCCCTCGGCGATGAAAGCCAGCTCGACATGGTTCAGACAGGGGCGGGGTTTTGCGATGGGTGTGCTTGTTGGCATGCTCACCTTGGGAAGTGGCATACCCTTTCTGCTCAAGGCGCTGGGAGCCAATGACCACAAGGTTGTGCTGTGGGGAACATCAGCAGCAACAGTGTTTGGGGGCATTTTCGTTGGTGTGCTCTTCAAGAGCGGACCATTGGCCACGAAAAGTGTCAAGTTTGACATCAGAGTGCTGCCACTCATCCTCAAGGACAAGTCCACTCTGCTGGGCATTGGCGGCTATTTTGGGCACATGTGGGAGCTCTACGGTCTTTGGACTTGGTGGGTAGATGCCCAAGTGCTCTTGAAACTGAATCAGAAATCTTCACTTGATGCTGTTTCTCAATTGTGACAAAACACTGGCCCTTGCCCACCCATCGAGTGATATCAGCCACTCTGTACCAGTACCCCAGGTCATTGGCCCCTACTTGTGCATGCTTTCATCCCCCACCTGCGGAATGCTCACAGCTGCCTTTTCTAGAAGAAAATCAACAACGCATACCATGCACACCCTCTCTTATCCAAGAACGCTGTTTTACACTCGTTCAGCACGGTGGGAATTATTAAACTGGACAGTGCTCAGAGGCATTTGAAGTCTTCTGGGATGGTAGCATTTGCACTTTTACTGTGACACAGAATTCCACAGGATTGCCTGCCAAAGCAATCTCCTTTGAGCAATTCTGCCAAGGACACCAATTGGATGTATTGGGCCCACTATAGCTGCTACTATCCGCACCAAGTTGAATACCTTCATCACAGAATGAAAAATCAATGTCCTTGTGCCCAAAAGGCGATGTCAAGCATAGTGGCTTGAAGTGTCTCTTGTGCTCAGACTGCTGAAGCTGCCATGCGCAGAAAGGGCTTCTCCCAAGTACCTTGCTATCCATTTGCCTCCAGTCGCACATGCCTGTGGGCGTGCTGACGTTTTGAAGCAAGAAACATCAATAGCACAGCTCAACAACTCAGCCTCCTGTTGCCTGACATCGCCTGCAATGTGCAAGGATGCTGCTCACCCTCAAAAAGACAGTTCCAGGAAAACAGAATGGGGTTGCCAAATTGTCAGGCTTTTAAAGTAGCTCCCCTTGCAGACAGGCAGACAGATTCGCCCCTCCTGCTTCATTTTGCTCTCCCCACACTCAACTCATTCTCAAACAGAGAAAGTCATGCATCCCGTCATGTGTTGTTAAGATGTGTGCCAATTTTCGCCTTTTCTTCAGGTACAATGACTTTGCAGAGGACCTGCTGGTGAATGTCCACAACAAGGGAACAGAGGAAGATGTCCCCTCGAGCGCTGCCTGGCTGACCACAACTTTGATGGTGGCGGGATTCGCCGGATGTGTTGTGGGAGGTCGTGTGGCAGACAAATGGGGCCGCACAAGATGGGCAGCATTGTGCATGGTGATATCAGGTGTGAAGATTGTGCCAGTAGCCAAATTCTGTTGCAGCTTTACTTTTCATGGAACATGACTTAGGGCTTCTAATTGGTGCTGTAGTGCTTTAGTTGCGATCATGGTGTTTTGGTAGTTTGCATACAATAAACCTGTGATCAAACTGCTAGAGAGTGTTTTTTCAGTTGAACACCACATTGCCAATATTGAACCACGTTCGCATGCACTGGGTGGTGCATCTACAATGATGTAAAGCATGTCACACAGTGGGCACCACGCCTTGTAAAGCAAGGCAGTTCTGGATTTTCTGTTCCGTAGCATAGAAAGTGGTGCAGAGATCCCCGAGTGCAACAGGAACAATGTTCAGTACGTTGTGGGAAGGAGACATGTAGGCCATGTTGTGTGCAAAGTCCAGGTCAGTGCACGTGGCAAAAATGGGACCAAATAGGTGCTCCCCTCCTGAGCATATTTTTGCATTATTGGGTATCCATTGTTATCACATTCATAGTGTTGTCCTTCCATGCTGCAAGAATGTGGAAGGTGTTGAGTGCAGCAGGCCAATTCCCAGTGAAAGGTTATGTCAGGAGTTTTGACGTCCTTCAGATGTGTTGTAGCAGCTCCTGCAGCAGTCTTTCATGCTGCACCTCTGCGCTTTGGCACCCTGTTCCTTTGGCAGAACGAACTGGATGATTTGTTCTCTTGTTGCAACCACTGGTCCCATGGGCAGCGTGTGCGTGCACGCCTGCTCCATGTCGAATGTCTGATCTGCAAATTTGGAACAGATACATTTGCTCCTGGCAAACCTCACAGTAGGGACAGTCTCACTATATAAATACACAATGAAAGCGAAATTCAGGACAATTGACAAGCGTCATGGATGTTGGTGTGGTACATGGGCAGCCCCCACAGGGTACTCACCCAAAGTGTACTGTAACATGTACAGTATGTGTCTTGTGCTGTATTGAAATTTGCATTGTGCCAAATTTTGCACCTAGTTTGTAGTGCATTTGAGTACCAGCTCATCTTTTTGGCCGTGCCCTGCCAGGAACTTGCTCCCTTGCTATCGGCCCCGCAAGACCTCATCTTCCGCTCGTGGTGCTCCTGACCATCATCTGGGGTGCCTTCGTGGTGGCAGACTCGGCTCAGTTTTCAGCCATCGTCTCGGAGGTCTGTTATCAGGACTACATGGGGACGGCACTGACGGTCCAAATCGCCTCGGGGTTTTCGCTCACGATTCTCACCATCTTTCTGATTCCGTATTTGATGGACCAGGGGGTGACGTATCGGTGGGCGCTGTCCATTTTGTCTGTGGGTCCCTTTCTAGGGGTCGTCGCCATGGTCGCTTTGCTGAAGTCTGACGGACACCTGAAGATTGCGGGAGGTAGAGGGTAGAACTGACGTCTTTCGTTGGGCGTCCATCGATTTTGGACGATTCTTGGAGAATAGGCGCCAGCAGATAGTAGATTATGCTGTGTGAATGTGAAGAACGAAAATTTGGAGCAAATAGTGCCGTATTTTATTTAAACCATTATTCATCACTTTAAAAGCGACGCCGCTCTGGAGAAATGTTGAGCAAAAGGACCTCTACAAGAGATCTTGTATTTTGAATGGCAACGCCAGAAACGTTCGACGTGCGCTGGCAGTCCTACGCGTGTCTGTGCGCTTGCGTCTACGTCCCGTCCAGGCCACGCTCGCACAACATTGGGCGTGGATAGCAAGCGCATTGATTGAGGGGGGCGACACGGCGCTATCGCGCAAGATGGGAAGAATAAGCCATTGGCGCTCATTGAGCGTTGCAGCCCAACGCTTTTCCAATATCGGCCCTGCTAACTTTCTTGAATTTAAACAGAAGGATGGTCTGAGTAGTGCACACCATCGCCCGCGACTGGCCGCTCCCATCACCCAAGGTCGGGATTCGGCAATGACAAATGGGAGTGTATTGCAGCGCCCCCCACGACAGCCCCGACTATAACGCCCCCAACGGAGCGCCGAACTGTTAATTTGTCTTTCTTGAGAACGAGCATTGCTTTGCATTCGTACAACTTTGAGGCTTTACATCGCCTGGCACTTGCCAGGTGGCACGAGGCCCACATGGCTTATGATACGACGGGGGAGCCAGCTGGACACTGAAATGTGATCCAGTGCTTCGGAACCAAAAAACATGCGGCCGACCACTCTAGTCCTGCAGGCTTGTCGCCTATCCGATTTGAATGATGGCCTCCAGTGCCCAGGAATGATGCCTCGCACCGAGCGACCTCGTGCACCATGAATAGGGACCTCAAGGTGACTGCGTGCAAGGCAGCGTCCGGTGAGAATGTGGAAGATGCAGTCAGACCTAAGAGGGGAATCGTGCTTCGTTGCATCGCCGCAATCCGACATCGATGTCGCTTGTCCGGCAACGCAAGGAAAGCGCAGGCAGGCTTTGGATTAACAGCTCCGACACGTGAAGCAATGTCCGCGATGAGGAGGAATGAAGTGAAAAGAGGAGATGGGCAAAACATTTTGTCTTGATCGATTGATGAAGAGGGTCAATTTCGGCCGCATTCATTGGGTCTTTTTCTTTCTTCTCTCTCCCCATGTTTTCTCTACATTTTTGTATTTTTCTGTACTTTGAGGTTGGACAGCACCTCTAAGGGTGTGACCTTTGCTTACGCGCAAAAGTGCAGTGCTCGCCAGAGCCAGGTTGGTGGCCCGGAACGGGGCGGGAATTTTTCCGGTACCACAATTCTCTAGAACACGCAGCACGCAGATTTCCACTGAAACACGAAAAGGCGCCATTGGCCTGCCTGGTTCCGATTGGGACATGAAACCTGCTGCGTCCTGAGCGCCGCATGTGCAATTCAATTCCAATATACGTGACTTCCCACTTTGGACGCGCGCTTTTCAGGAAATAGTGGTACAACATAATAATTATGTTACCACACTACATTATAATTATTATAATGCTGTAGTGTGGTATCCCTTGTACGATGCTTTCCCCAAAAGCGTGGCTTCTCCGAGAAGTCTCTTCTCCCGCACCCAGAATCCCCAACCCACGCGTTCAACGAAAGTTACAAGGGGCTGAAAAGCTTGAAACACTGAAAGTCAATCCAGAGCCAAGCAATTGGCTGTAAGCTGTTTCCTGACAGCATGACAAAATATTCTCTCTTCCAGCTGAGCGCTTTTTTCGCTCGAGAAATAGCGTGAGCGGAAGGGTGCTTTGAAAAGTCCAAGTGCTATCTCCAACCAACAGCGTCAAGCTTTCACTCGATTGCGTACTTCACTCGATTGTATTTCCGACTCCTACTGGCTCCACTGTTTCAGCAGTCCAACTGCCGTAACTACAAAAATTCGCCGTACAAATGTGCAGAAAATACCCAAAGCCAAAAAAAAAACAAAAAAAACAGCGGTTTCAGCGACGGGCGGCTGGCGGGCCGGTGACAACCAAATTGGCCCCGGCCAACCCGCGGCCTCCACGTGGAACTCGCGCCAGCCTCCCTCAACCTTCCCCGCAGCCAACCCACCCCGCCCACTATTTGACCTCCCCCGACCCCTCTGCCTCCCCGAGCAGCAAGCCCCCCAGCCCCGGGGCATCGCCGGCAAGATGGACGTCCCCGTGGACCCCGCCCTGTCGGCCAACGTGCACGGCCAGCTGGTGGCCCTCAACGCGCGCCACCGCGCCGTGGAGTCCCTGGTGGGTGACTACCTGGTGTGCCTGCGCACGTGCCAGGACACCGCGGTGCGCAACATGCAGCTGAGGAAGGAGGCGGACGAGCTGAGGGACGAGGTGCTTGAGAAGCAGAGCAGGCTGGAGGCGCTGGCGCGCAGGGCGGCGCGGGCGCAGCAGCTGGAGCGGGTGGAGGCCAGGCTGGAGGAGGTGGGGTTGCATTGGTGTTGGGTGCAGTTCCATCGATTACATACTTGTCGCCACAGAACAAGACAAGCCCTTCACCAAGCTGGCGATGTCGGGCAGTGAATGCAAGCACAATGTATTGTTTCCAGGGCATATGTTTTGGGTGTTGCTTGGAATGGCACTCAAGGGGTTGGACTGCCCTCTTCCTTGCCCCTGGTCGGGTGGCTTGGTAGAGCAGTGGGACATCCCATCCATGGGTACCCGGTTCGATCTCCGGTCGGACATACTCTTTACCATCCGCACCAAAACACTGGGGGCCTGCTGGCTGTGCTGGGACCTCCCTGGTGTCTTTGTCTTGGGATTTTGGTTCTTAGGTCTTGTTTCTTGATTCTTTTTCGTTGGGTCTTTTATCCTGGGGGTCATTTTTCTTGTTCTTTTGTCTTGGGGTCTTTTTGATCCATGTGTAGGTTCATGATTGGGGGTTGTGGAGGGCCCCATCCTGGTGAGAGGGATGCAGACCTTTGGCAACCTTGGATTGGATGGGTGCACTGTCGTTGATCGCACAACATGGGACGGCATCGGCACTGGCAGGTTTTCTGTCTCTGCACAGTGCTGGTGAATTGCCAAACGGGTCCGTGGGGAGTGTGTTTCTGCTGTGATGTGTTCATGGGAACAGAAGCAGTGCATGCACAGCAGCAGCTCCCGGCAAGAGTAGAAAAGCTAGAACAACAACAGATTGATCGAACACAAACACCATGCACAGAAGCGACAAATATGCACGCCGAGTTCCATCCCTTGAAGGGGCAAGGGGAGGGTGTGCGCATATTGTTGTGTCTTGGATTGTGTGCCTGAGGAGGGCAGGGGATGCAGAGTGATGTTTGGCTCTGCTTTGGGACCATGCACTATGAGAGAAGCTGCATTCCTTTGTTCCCAATTGTGCCAAATTCCACTCTGCATCTTATTGGGCCTGGAAGGTTGGTTTGACCTAGCGCTGGGGATTCAATCTGGAGCTAGCCTTGTGCGCATGGGTGATGCACGCTTGATCGCCATATCCAGCTACCCTCCCAGCTTCTTTCAGGATTACAATGCGGCTGACAGGGATCATGTCAAGAATGAGTGCTGTGACATACACCTCTAGTATGGCCATCAAACCTTTAACAGAATGTCAGAATCAACTTGCTTGCTGCCAGGGCTGGATTGGTTGAAGCCTGAGCACCCATCAGTCCTGGAATGTGAGCTTTCTGTTAGTGGACATCGAATGAAGATTTGGGCCCATGTTGTCGTCAATCCATTATTTTCAAGTTGCCGACTCTCCCTGGCCACACTGCCACTGACTGTTCCTTTGTCAACATCGCTACCATGCACGCAAGATGGCCCTGGGTGTTGATGGAAGAAAAACAAACTTTTTGCCAGTGGCATTGCCTGTTCGACAAATCGCAGACACCATTGCATTGTCTTTATCAGGCCACCACTGAGAGGGACGGTCTGCGGCAAAAGGTGTCAGAATTGGAATCCCAGCTGGGTGAGGCAACAGCCTCAAACGAGAACCTCACGTCCCAAAACGAGGAGTACCAAGCACAGGTTGCCACCTGCGAGGAAAACATTGCGCAGCTCAAAGCTGATGCAGAATCGCTATCAGAGCGTCTCAAGCAGCAGGAGGTGTCGACTGCCATCGCTGTGGAAGAGTTGGAGTCCCACAGGGGGAGAGCAGCAGGTTGGGAGAAACAGGTGACAATACTGACAAATCCATGCACAGGGCATGGCAATACAAAGTGCTGCCCAATCAGAATACAGAGACACATGTCAGAATCACATGTCCATGAAAAGGTTGCGTGATTTGTCCTAGAAGCCTCAACACCCATATCCACAAGAAACAACAAAATGCAACAGCTCCCTGCCAACCAAGGACACAATGTCCAATGGGAGTCGAGTGTAAAAATGTCATACAAAGGCCACCCACTTACTGCAGATCCAGGTCTCTGTATGTGTTTCACAACAAGTTTTGTCACGGGGCAGAATTTCTGAAACCCAACACTGGCTGATGGCATGTTTTAAGGCGTGTCAACTTGCATATCTACTTTAGAATCGAGTTGCATTGACTGAGAAACGTACCTGCTCTTGCCTGTTGAAGATATTCGACTTGCGGGGTGTGTGTGTGAGAGCAAGACTTTTTCGAGACTTTGGTATGCACCATGCAGGCAGAGGGCTTGAGATGAAGGTGTCTTTGTGTGGCAAATAGAATATCTGTCAGGCTGGGATACATTCAGGAACAAAAGTCATAGAAAACTCTTGCCTGCCACAGATGCAGTACTGAAACTTGTGTGACAGGTTGAGAAGTTAAGCCGGGAGAATGGGGAGTTGCTGAGGCGGATACAGGAGATGGCTGCAGAGCAGATGAAGAAGCTGCAAGAGGTAATGGATTTGGAAGAGGCGGTGGTGCAGAGGGAGGCCAAGGTGGGCAGGATGGAGCGGCAGGTGACGATCGAGCGGGAATACGAATCGTCCAAGGTAGGGGGCTTTGCACTGGGGCCCCTGGGCAGCCTGTTTCCACCTCAGGTGCGCCACCGGCCGCCTTCCACTGCCAAAGACAAGCACAGGCGGCGCCTGTTCGATGCCGTGGACGCCATCGACAAGGATAGGGGCAACGGGAAGGTGGTGGCGATCCTGACTGATGTGATCAAGGCCCTGAATGACAAGCAGAAACCTGCTGAAGACAGCGACTTTGAGATCGTCGCCTCAGAGGAGGGCCGGCCCCCTGTTGCTGAGCAAGAGGTTGTGGTACCAAGGGCAGCCTTCAGGGGGGCGTCTCACAAGGGGGGATGCACTTCACTGGCCTACTCACCCAACGGAATGTTGCTGGCGACGGGCGGAATGGACAAGGTGGTGTCAACCTGGTACCCCCCAACGAGGCTTCGGCAGAACGACCTCAAGGCGTTTGACTCCGTAATGGATGTGGCTTTCACTTGCAATGGGGAGCATGTCCTTGGAGGGGGTGTGGACAAGTCTGTGCTGGTGTGGCAAGCCTTGTCAGGTGACCTGTTGATCCACACATCAACTTGACACCCAAGGTGCCACTTTATTTTGCGCACAGTTTGGAACTGACTTGCAGATTCGTAGATTGTGTTAGCGTGCAGCACATGGCAACTCCCAATCCTTGTACACAAGAGGCAGTGACAGACTTAGCAGCATCCAACACGTGTGAGACTTGTGCTGGTGTGACTGCCCTTGCATTGCCTCTGTAAACCATCGGACATTGAACCCTCACTTGTTTGAACACTGATCTGGTAGTTATGGTGCTTGCAGTGTGCAGTTTGAAGTAGCTTACATATATGCACAGCTTGTACATATGTCCACCCATAAGCAGCTGCTGGTCCCCTGCCGCTATGTATTGTGTCCTATATCTGTCGACTTTGTGCTTGTGCTGTGTGCTCCATGCTGTTTTAGTAAGCTTGGTTTTGGTTTCCGTACACACGAACTGTCAAATGGGTGACAGCTTTCAGCAGAAAGACAACGATTGAATCAGAAAGACTACAGGATTGATTGGATGCCATTTTTTCACACTGCACTGTCAGCGTTTTGTAGGTGACAGGTACTGGTCTGTTCTGGCAGAAGGAACCACAGAACTGTATGCCTCTCGCTGCACAGAAATGTTGACATGAGCATCTTTGCAACAGAAGATGATACAGAAATGGATATTATTGGCCCTAAATCACATTGAGTCATGGCACCATTCCCTTTGGGAGAAATGGATTCGTTGTGGATGAACAAGTGAACAGTACATCTTTATATTCAGTGTACCAATTAAGAACATAAGAAAACAACACATAAAATACAACAAGACAATGCTGGGCATAAGATCTGGGCATAAGCACTGGTCCTGGTGTGGTGCAATTGCAAGGATTGGTGGCATTGGTAATAAAGTGTTATCACACCATGTATTGAAAAGGGCAACTGCTGTGTGCTCGTTGTGCAGGCAGGCAGAGGCACACACTAAGGGGCCACACGAGGGGTGTGAACTGCGTCGTTTGCTCCCCTGCTGACCCAACTCGTGCCATATCCAGTGGGGAGGACAGAGCCATCATATCATGGGACCTTGCACGTGGCCAGCAGCTAGCCTCCCTGTGTCCCAACAGCCAGGCAAGTGTATCTTCGTTTGATACTGTTTGGTCCAAATGTAAAATTCAAGGTGATGCAAAGCCTCAGAGAATGCTGGTGCAAAGAAGGAATGCTCAATCTCAGGGATGGCAATTGTTGCTGTTGTTCATCATTCGTGATGCAACAGCAACACAGCGTCGCCATCACATGCGAATATGCCAGCAATCTCAGGTTCAAATGTCAGATGCCAGAAATTGAGCCAAACAGGTGCCGTTGTGGCTCCTTTGCTTGTGTCTGGCATATCAACAAGTCACAGTCAGCTACTGTTGGAGAAGATGAAGGGCAGTGGGTTAGCCTTTAAGAATTGTCGGATGAAATGGTGGGGAGCCAGGTGCCCTTGCCTGCCTGTACTCCACTTGGGGTATGGATGTGAACTCCGGTTGACCAGTCCACCACACTGTCTCCTGTGGTCCAGCAGCCCGCTGTTGTCTTTTGACTCTGTAGTTGTTCCATTCATCGTTTGACACCATCAATAGCCCACCTTGAGTGATATGCAGCCTGCTGTATTTTCGAAAGGATTCACTCGATGGTCAATAGCTGTGCATGGAACCGTAACTGAAGTGTGTTCAACAATTCAGGTGTGTGCGGTGTGCTACACCATCAGCCATGACACGATAATGTCTGGCCACATGGACGGCACCATCCGCCTGTGGGACCTTCGGGCCTCCAAGATTGTGCTGGACAAGACCCAGGTGCACAGCAACATGATCGTCTCCTTGCAGCGCCTCGAGTCCGGCAAGGTGCTGTCGGCGGGCAAGGACAACTGCCTCAAGCTGTGGGACTTGTCGCAGTCCAAGGTGCTGGCCGAGTTCTGGGCGAGGGACTTCCAGATCGGCACGATCGGGGCCATGGGCAAGTGCAGGTGCAGCGTGTGCTGCAGCCCGGATGAGCGCTTCATTGTTGCGGGGACCACGGCTGGGACTCTGACGGTGTGGGACACCAAGGAGCCCTCTGCGGCTAAGAAGGTGCAGGTGTTGAGGACGCCCCACCACAGGGAGCCGGTGGTGGGGTGCGCCTGGGGCAGGCAGGGTGACATGGCGTCCTGTGACAAGGCTGGCGTCGTGGTTTTCTGGAGAGACGTTCCCGTCGAATGAGCGGCTGGACTGGGAAGAGGGGGGTGACCGGATGGGCTGTGCTTTGCGAAACAGGATACCCCAGGCACTGAGTAATAAATGGGTTGGATGGGTGCGGAGGCAGATAGCACGCAGGTTGAATTCGAAATATGTTGTGGGATGCAGGTGTGTGTACAGTGATTCTTGTGAGGAGATATGTGGGCTTGTGCATCAAGCATCCCCTCCTGAGCAGAAGCGTTTGGTGTACTTCTCTGTACGTAGAGGCTAGATGTGAGATCATCTTGTGATTCGGGGAGGCGGGTTGCACTTCAGCACCTGTAAACCAGCGTGGGTGGCTTCGTGATGCACCTTTGGTCGACATCTCAATCACTGCGTCTCTCCTTGCACAAACCCCAGGATACAGCATGCGCACGTTTTGCAGCATTGCGCTCTGTGGCTGCGCATTCCTCTTGAATACAACAACCACACAAGTGTGCCCATTCGTGGATGTGCTTGTCCATGCGTGGCACCCATATCCCGAATATGCAACTTTCATCGGAGAGAGGTCGCGAAGGTTGAGTTGTTTGGACACGATATTTTGCACTACGTCCTGTTGTCCATTCTCTTGCATCCTCGACGGCAGCCCTGCTCAATGGCGTATTGATGATCCAACTTGTCCTAAGATGGAGTTCGTCAACACATTAATACACCTGATTGATTCGAACTTCTTAAAGATGCTGACGACACCGAAGAAGGGTGAAATCCTAATTGACACAAACGTGCCTGCCAGTCCACAATAATATACAGAGGGGAATCAAGACCACATTTCAAGGGTCGTTCTAGTGCTTAAGACCTTTTTGATTGCTTCCCATCCATTTCCTTCCAAATGCGGTGCACATGTCCAAACATTAACGCTCCCTTGAGGCAGAAGTTCTCAACCCAAAATGGAGCACAGAACATGCAACACACTGACTTGATACATCGCAGACACTGAGGCTGCCAGTGCCCATATGCTCACCAGTACACCGTCGCAACTAAGTCCTAAACACGCGTAAGCAAATCTTCAGATGTTGAGCAGCATCTCCGCACCCGCAGCATGCAAAGTTCCTGGTTCCGGCCATTATTCACGTACGGCGAGTCACTTGGCAACCGTCTTGAGACACAACCCCGTGTCTCCTTATTCGTCTGAATCGCCAACAATCTATGTCGAATTATCTCCACGATTCCCGTAGTCGCCATACTTGATCATCATACCCAAAAGGCGTGAAAGCTATTCTAAAATACACCAGGACTCACCCGCCTGGAAGCAGACAGAACTTCGTGCCTTCGTCGCAGGAGCCCGTGGTTGGACCATCCATTGCCGCAATTTATTCTCTAAGTGAGCTCCGCACACACAACGGTGCGCGCTTTTTATACTGGATGACTTCAGAACACAAGCATCAGCAGCACCCACTGCCTTCGACTTCCAACACTACAGCACCAAATTGAATTTGATGCACGCTAAACCCGTGCTCTTCTGTCCAGCAACCACCAAGAATCTTAAGGCTGGGATGGCACTAAGCAAGCAAGAACAAATTACCCCCAACGTCTTAGCTCGTGCATTCGTCCCTTTGTTCCTCTGCCACAAAACTAATAGCATTTATTGGGAAACATGCTATTGTACACTTGCTACAAGAGCAGGCTACTTCCCCGACGTTACCCGGCTTGGCCTCCATTAGAGAGATCTCAAGGGGATTCTCAAAAAAATTTGTACCCATTTCCGGTCCACGAAGCCTCCCTATTGCACGCAGAGATTCAGGTGGGTCAACCCAATTGAAGCGATTCTGTTGCCCCGTACAATAGTACATCGATCGATTCCTTTCGCGTTCCAACTTACCAGCAACTGGCCATTTGTCATGACAACAACATCACACATTAGTACTTTACGATAACGCCTTCATGGATTCAATGCATTACTATGGGTTTCTTCTTCGCGGATTCAGTTGCGTTCCCAGCGTTACAGTGCCCTTCGCCGGTCGCTTTCTAGAAATCGCGAATTCCCTCTCGGCCACCGTTATTGTCATGGCACACGGGCACCACGCGCACAGCACCATCCCCGCAGCGCTGCCCTCATTACCTCATTGGTACCAACACCCGATCCCCAACTCGACGAACGCAACCACAGGATGAGCTCCAGCACCACATTGACGCGCAGGATTTCCACTGGCGTGGACGTGGTCTTCCGCTTTAGGGTTGGGGCGGATGTTCAGCGCCAAAGACTGTCAAGAAGCGCTCAGCCATTGCTTGCAGGTCGTCCGGTTGCATGTCCCTTTCCGTGAGCCTCACGCCGCAGACGCCTATCTCCACGCCGTGCTCCAGATTCGCCTTCAGCAAGAAGGACGTCGTCTCCCAGCACCTGTTTTGAATGAGGTACCTATGGGAAAACAACAGAAAGTCTATTTTCCACGAAAACACTCAGTTCGCCGATAGAGTTTTCAAAAAATTTTCTTACCTGTTCTTGATGTGATCAAACCATTGATACGATACCACTGGTACGGTTCCATTGGCACGATAACTCTATGGTTGCTCTATGCGCGGTCGTGTGGCGGCATTGCCCTCGAAAAGCTTGTACGCAATGAGAAGAATTTCAATGTTCTCAGTATAATATTATCCGAATGCCATCAACATTTCACCCACATTGTGGTGGTTTATGACACGAGTTTCCTGCTTGCTTCATGGAATGTACTTGCATCAACTTTTGCAGCGCAGTGATGATTCCTGCCAGAAATATTGAAACGAACAGGTATTCCCGCTGCTGCATGCTGTATGCCTTTCGGTTATGCTTGAAACACCATTATCACTGCTTAAGCAGATGTGAAGCAATTTGGCAACAAGGCATTGGGAGGGATTCAGTGCCAACTTTTCAACTGGTATCAAATTGCACCATCAGCGCGTGCAATGCCCACTTAGAAAACCATCCTGGAAGAAGACACCCCCACCACTAGAGTGAATGTACCTGACCACGCGATGCAGCGTTTCCCTCGCAGGCGGGGGCAGCTCCCCGGCCTGATGGTCCCACAACTGGAACAAGAAGGTCCGCAGGTCCTTTGCCAGCATCTGGAAATTTTTCTTCCAAACGGCATGCCGGACTGCCCTCTCCATGCTGGCTGCATCCATCGCTGCCAGCTGCGTTTTTTTGCCAAAGAACAAATCCATTTAGAACATATTCCAAAGCACTAAAGTGTTCTCACTAAGCTGATAGTATGGCCGAATAAAATCACCAGCAGATGAAAAAAATCGACTTCGTGTTGGCTGCCGCGGCTGGGCTGTGTCCATGACTTCGATTCATCACTCGTTTCTGCTTGAAGGGAGCCTGTTCCAGCCCGGCACGCACACTAGCTGGTGCATTGGCTAAAGGCAAGCTTATTGGTTTCAATCTTCTCATCAACATCCCCACTCGCAATGCTCGTAACCCTCGTGCTACATTTGTCTCTAGGTTCGCTAGACACACCTAAACTACTGCATCCCCAGTTCTTTAATCTTCACGTAGTCCCCAACCCCAACCAGATCTCTAAGATTTGGGTGATAGTGTACAAAACGCGGTAATTGGAGCTTTGGGGTACTCTTAAATCAGGGAGACTATCCGCCAACAGAGAAACTGGTCAGTGCATACTGAGCATTGTCGGTCTTGGAAGTCTTCACAGGAATAAAACAGATCCCTTGGCTCACGCTCAGCCGCCACCAATGGAATCCGCAATATTGGACCAGAGGTCCCAAACTGCCAAGGAACAGGCGGCGAGAAACGCATTTGCCCACCGGTACAACCCAGAGAGCCTGGCGCATCGAAGGCGCCCACCCACGGTGAGTGACACACCGAGCTCTAATTAGAATCTGACTGAGCAATCCCTGATCACATGTTTGCCCAGAGCTTCATCATTTACCAAAAGCGCACTCACAAATTGTTACAGATACAGCTTTTGTTCCTTCTGCACAAGCATGCCTTTGCTTGCTCTGGATTGACTCCAGCTACGTATTTTATTGATTTAAATAAAACGATGTTGAAAGCAATATGCTATGAGGGGCAGAGATCATGTCATTTGGGGTTCGTTACACCAGTCAGCGGGTCCACATTTCTGCCATTACGTAAATGAAGAAGAGCAAAAGATATGAAGCAAACGTCTGTGCACGGAATGGCTCCCGATATCCCCAACGGGCGTACTTGATGGACGCATGAGTATTTTGGACAATTTGAGGGATTACATGCGAGCTTGTGCGAAAGGCATCTCCTGGGCTTCATGATTTCTTGCGCTTCCTATCTTTAGACCTGTCTTAAAATTTAACAATGCTCCAAACTCTCTAAGCGGCACCACCCATCCTGAAGCATCGCTGGAGTGCGCACACAGCGCGCACATCCAGAATGGAGACCGCCCTCGCAATGAGTGGGCAACGCCATCTCGATGAGGGCATCAAAATGCGCATCTACTGTCAAGCACCTCTAGATCTTCGGTGCGCGTACTCTGGTTAAAGCACCGCTGTATCCCTGTTTTCGACGCATATCCACGCCGGGCCAAAACGCAAGGATGCGTCATGTACGTGCGTGGGCGACGTCTGATCGTTCTTTCAAAAGGGCAGTAAGCATTCTGCACTTGACCAACCCCACAAAGCACCGCCGCAAGCTCACCTGATCGGTAGGGATCTCCAAGAAAGTCGACTGAAATTCTGCATCTTTTCCCTGCACGTGATCCGCCGCTGAATGGAGGAGTCCGCACATCTCTCCGCACGCCTGTCTGGGAAGGGCCAGCAACACACCTTGTGGCCCAAAATCGGAGCCATCCTGCGTGCTGATGCAGATTTCGATGACGGCCGGCGTCGCCGCCTCTATCCGACACCTGTAAGGGGATAATTAACGCCATTTACCGCGGATAAGGTGCAGCAGATGCCATCCATGCTCTGGGCATCTGTTGAATATTTCCCTTTGGCGGACATGGCAAATGGCTGGGCGAGCAGATGCGCAGTCCTGAGCAACACCCAAGGCTGGCAATAGTGGCGGCACTTGCGCCCGA